AGAGAGAGAGAGAGAGAGAGAGAGAGAGAGAGAGAGAGAGAGAGAGAGAGAGAGAGAGAGATGACAGGAACAGAGATCATGCGAAGAGCTGAATCAGAGAATACTACAGACAGGGTACTATTGAGTTGGTTTGTATAACGTCCCTATCCTACCTCGATTGTATTTGGGAAGGCCATCGACACGACTGAGCCTTGAGCCACGCCAAACGAGCTTCGAAGAACCGCAGCCACACGATCCACCTCCGCGTGCAACTCCGCATAGGACAATTGAGGGCTGCCACTGGCCACGATGACTGCCACGTCATCTGCCTTACCCACACTCCTAAGGAGCGCGGGAAGCGTAGATAACATCTCATTCTTTGCCTGAACCATGATGGCTAATTTTGAATTCCCCCCCCCCCACCCTCACCTAGACACTCCCTCCTTTTCTTCTACCTCTCACACACCCCAACACTCCTCCTTCCTTCTTCTCCCTTCTTTCCTTTTTTTCCCCTTCTATCTTTCAACCCTCCTTCCTTCCCTGTCGATCTCCACCTTCTGCTTCTTCGTCTTCTTCCACTGGATCGTTAGCGATTGCCCTCGCTATTCTCAATGCTTCTTCTTCTTCTTTCCTTCCTCTTCCTCTTCTTCTTCTTCCTCTTCTTCTTCTTCTTCTTGTTGCTAGTGGTCACAGCTCGTTCTCGTCGTGCGGCTGAACTCAAATCTCTCAGGAGAGCTCTGTTGCTGTTTTAGGAGGTGTAGTACAATCAATCAATCAATCAATCAATCAATCAATCAATCAATCAATCAAATCGGAGGCCATCCGAGGACACCCACGACAGCCTGCATTGGTCATCGATCGACTCTGGCGATCCAGCGCGTGGATGCCATAGATTGATTGACAAAGATCGACGGTGGCCCAGGATTAACCAAATCAGATAGGATAAGTTGAAGAAGATGCTATACGGGTTTTTTTATGCCTCGTCCTTCCGCTTGCGCTCTTCTGGCTTCGGAGAAGACCCTGCCCCCCAGCTCCCCGCCCCCTGCGCGTGCTTGCTTCTGCCTTCCGCGGAACAACTCGGAGTCTACAGCAATGCAGCGGAATCAAGAAGAATGAAGAAAGAGAATCCTTTCCCTCCTCTCCTCTCAGAACAGCTCGGAGACTCACAGGACCACAGCAACGGAGAAAGAAGCTATTAGTGACTACCGGGGTAGCAATGGCCAAGTTGCACTCACATGATAGATAGGCAAGAAACCTTTCATCACTGTAATTGTCAGCGTGTACACACTCGCTGAATCTTTTCTGTAGCGAAAGAAAACCAAGCCAGAAGAAGAAGAATAGTGACTAGTGAAAACAGCGGCCATTAACCTGTCATCACTGTAATGTCAGCGCTGAGAGAAAACCAAGCCAGAAGAAGAAGAAGAATAGTGACTAGTGAAAACAGCGGCCATAGACTGCGAGACTAGTGAAAACAGCGGCCATAGACTGCGAGACTAGTGAAAACAGCGACCATAGACTGCGAGACTAATGAAAACAGCGGCCATAGACTGCTTCTCGCACATGCTTCCACATATAGACATTACATCTCCGCATCCACTGTTCTCAGCAGAACCGCGCACATGTTCCCCGTCGCGCTTCGGCCACATTGCGCTCCTGGCGGGCTTCTCCTCCCACTATCATTTTGCGGGACCACCACCAACGCGAAGCAGAGGAGGAATCTTTTGTAGTGCGCGCGGTCCGGTCCGCTGCGCTCCGCGCCGCGCGCCCTCTTTCGCCACAGCCAGTTTTCACCCTCGGTTATACCGACAGGAGTAACTCACACTACAGTAGAACGCCGGGTTGAATTGTGAGGTCCCCGGCCTCCCTTTTGTGGTTTAATGAAGAAACCCTCTGGGCCCCTTTCTTTTTGTGTTAAAAAAAAAAAACAAAAAAAAAACAGTGGCTCTAACTTAAATGCATCTGAGTCCTTCGGGACATCCGTTAAAATTGGAACGATACAGAGAAGATTTGCATGGCCCCTGCGCAAGGATGACAATAATAAATCGAGAAATGGTCCAAATTTAAAAAAACAAAATTAAAAAAAATGCATCTGACCCCATTCACTCACACTACCGGTAGTAGCTCCATCTTAATGAATGCACCTGACCGCATTTACAGCAGGACGTGGACGCATCTGATCGCAATTACGCCCATAAATAACTCAAAAAAGTCCTAGAGTGAGTATGCCCGCAGGAATTGCACGCACACAGGACTTGCACGGACTTGGGGGGAGCGTCTGGCCTCGCTCCACGACTCTTCAAATGCACAACAGAATTAAAAACATGGCGGTGTATCTTCCCATGTTCCTGCGCAAGATTCGTTCTCATTTTGCTCATTCGGAGAGTAGTGGACCGAGGGCCACTTCCTTCCTCCGCACTTCATCGGCCTGTCGTGGCCGCGGGCGGTAACATCAAAAATTAGTGTAGTAAAAAAAAAAAAAAAAAAAAAAAGTAAGTGTATAGTGAGCGGCCTAGCTCAGTTGGTTAGGCATGCAACTGGCATTCAGGAGGTTGTGGGTTCTAGCCCCATGGCCGCCTGCGGTGCACTTAGTGCCAACGGACTGTGATAGTCCTCTGGATACCCCTGATCGGTATTAGCGGGGTCTATGACCAACACGGGTGTGAGTGTGAGCGCGAGTGGGTTGTGTGTGGTGTGTGGGAGAGTGTTGGCCATAGCCTCTGCTGCTACTCGATGAAGGGTGGGGGACGATGAGAAAGGGAGGCACAGCTACTGGCAGGTCTCGGTCTTTGTGTTAGCCAGACCCCCACTGGTGGCCCCAACC